TAATTCTCTCTTCCGGGCTTCCTTTCCTTAAAAGGGAGGGAGGGAGAGATAATACAACTTTTAAATCTTGAGCATTAGCATTTTCTCTAATTTAATACGCATAATTCTTTATTGTGGGAGGCTATCCTATGCACTGTAGAATATTTAGCAGCATCTTTGCCTCTCTACCCACTCTGATATGACAATGAAAATGTCAAGACATTTTTATGTTTATTCAAAAGTAACTATGCATCTGAAGGAAAAAGATAACATAAAATACTAAACAAGAGCTTACAAAATTAATTTGTTCAAAATTCCAAATACAAAAGAAAGCCTAAAGCCAATTCTACTTTGCAAGCCAATCAAATCTGAAAAATAAGTGTACTAATTTCTTTGCATATTTAAAGTTTTAATCATGTGCTATTAAGAACATTGGAACTTTATACAATTTACTCTTCCTATCACTGCTAATCTTGTAATTAAGCAGAATGAAATAGATTCCTACTATTTGCAATTTTTAACACTCCTCTACTTCGTCATACCACACTAATGGACACTTACGAGCTTGGTCTGTAGGGTTCATAAATTTTCCACTCTTGGTGGATGATGTAGATCTCCGTCCCATGTTGACAATCTGTGTGCTTTACTTTTTCATTAAGAAAAAGAAAAAAACCTGCAAAGATGAAGAAAGAGCTTGTATCTCTTATAGCTCTACCAATCTTCTAAAAATAAACTCTTTAATACTTAATTTTCTAAGGTCTTTTTTCTTTTTTGGGGGGGGGGGTGTCTCACTGTGTTGCTCAGATGGTCTAGAACTCCTGGGCTCAAACCATCCTCCCACCTTGGCTTCGAGTATAGCTGGGATTACAGGTGTATACCACTGTACCTGACTTCTTTCCTTAGTTTTGATAAGTGTTCAAGAAAGACGGCCTCAACTATCTTGACCATAAACAATTAGATTGTTCTTATTCTTCAGAAACAACAGGTGTGAAGATGACTTTAAATATCAGTGACTCATCAATACAACTTTTTTTCCTAAGGATCACAGCACTAACTTTGTCAAAACTGAAAAAAATCAACTAGATGTAACAATAATGCTATTTAACAATATGGCACAGACCACGAACATGAGAAACCATTAGTCCTTTTTTACCTTCTCCCTTTATTTACATGCAGGGTAATACATAAATATAAAGAAATTTTTAAAAAGGGGTTAACTGGATAATTAGCTCAAGGACAAATACCTTACCCCACTCCACTTGCCTCTATGGTTTTACTTGGCATGTATGTTGTCCATTCCTAACACTTTGAGACAGCTCATTAATTTAAACATTTTATTCTAATTCAGATACATACAATTCTTGACTCTCAAGAATTCAAAACATAACTAAAAATGCAAATATTCAAAATTAGTACCATATTAAGAGCTCCCCCAAAGATATATATTTTTCTTACTCGTACTTAACTCTTGATCTGGATTTTTTAAAGTAACTAAAAAGAATAATTGTGTTTGAGGGAGAGTATTTTGTATACTAAAACTTCTATTAACAGGCGGCGGTTGTGGCTCAAAAGGGTAGGGCGCCTGACCCATATGCCGGAGGTGGCAGGTTCAAGTCCAGCCTCGGCCAAAAACTGCAAAAAAAAACCCAAACCAAACAAAAACTTCTATTAACATAATACATTATTACATAAATTCTTCCTCTTACTCCAAAGCAAGGGGGTTTAGCTTTTGAAACTCAGTCTTTCCAATAATCAAGGTTGAAAAATCTGTTTATAGAAAACAGAAAAGTGTCTGAAAGCAGACACTCATTACCTCGATTTCCACTAGATGTTTCAGAGTTGTTCCAGGGGTTATTACTTTACCCTGCCACGCGATTCCTTCTCAGAAAAACTGGAGGTTGAGGAGGAGAGGGGAGCAGGCGGTGGAGAAGGGTGGGAACAAGCAAAATTAGAACACAAGATCGCCTATCTTTGACTGCCTGTTGTCTTTTGCGCTTTCTTTTCTCAGGCTCATGTTTTGACCCTCCTTTCTCACAACGGAAACACAAAACATATGAATTACAGGGAATTTTACAGAAAACACTGCAGCCCTAGTCTACACAAATTACATTTTTGTCAGGCCAAAATACGTTGGCGAACCCTAAATAGCCAAAGAAGCTTCAGTGGGACCAGGGTCCAGGTACACCAAAGGAGGCAAGAGCAGCCCCCAACTGCCGAAACCATAGCGACGGTTGACCCTGACTCGAGGTTACAGGACGTCAAACCCAAGCAGTCCTAACCGACCCGGGCGAAGTCAGGCGCATAACCGCTGGACGCCGCGCCACCCCAGGCTCACGGAGAGCCCCCAGTCCGTGATCCAGGAGACCCCAACCCGGGCGAGGAAGAGCGGGGAAAAGCGGCCTGCTGTTCCCGAGGCAACCGCGCAGGCGCAGGAAGGGGCGCGAGAGATGGAAGAAGCGGAGTAGAGAAGTTCCGTACACTCACACTTCTGCTGGGCTCCCAGGGCTGCGAGAAGCGAGGAAGGGAAGACTCCCAGCCTCTTTTACTTGGGAGGGCCTTTAAGTCAGTCTCTCGGTCAACCACCCAGCCACCGCCATCTTGAAACCTCGCGCCCCGCCGCAATCCCTACGTCATTTCCTATCCCCTCAGCCGGCGTCTGTTAGCCTCGTTCTGTCCTGGAACCATAGAGAGCGCCCAAGAAGCCCAGGACCAGAGTCTTTTCCGCTTCGACACATTACCCAATTGGTCGGGTATTGAGAGCCCGCCTCGTACGTGAAGACGCCACATCGATTGACACTTAGCTAGTCCAATAGAAACAACAAGAAGGAAGTTGCTCTCTGATTGGCTGACTGCCCTGCCGAGCCGAAGTTCAGCGCTTAATCGTCAGAGACCGGCGCATTCGGAGGATGTATCGGTGTTTTAGGATGTTTCTGTGTCCTGGAATTGTCTTAGTTTTTGGATTTTCATGTTTCTTATGACGTAGGCAGGAGCAATCCTTTGGGAGAGTCTGCCCTGGAAAACGAGTACCCGTATAACACTTTCCCCTGAGTTGAACGCGCTTTGCAACCATCATGTTACACTCGTGGGTGGCTGATGCCTGTGGAGATTTAAAAGGGATTGGTAGACACACAGCGTTGGTAGACCCGAAAAGTAAATCAGTGCCAGTATTAAAGTCCCAAATTGCTAATTTACAGGAGTGTGTGTGTGTTTTGAAGAGGTAATGTGGGGATATACAGTCAGTTTTAAATTTGTGAGTGGCGAGGTCAGTATGTATTGGCTCAATTCCCGATTGGTCTTCACCAGCCAGGTGTCCTCTATGATGTCACCGTACACACGGTATTATTCCCTTAACCTGAGGCCTTCATCCTTTCCTTACCTTCTGACCCCTCTTTCCCTAAGACTCTCCCTCCATCTTTTCCCTTTAAAGGTAAGTTTAAATACTCTGAAAATCCTATGCTTGAAGTACACTCTTGGTAATTTTTTTTTATCGTAATCTGAATGTATCCCTTATAGGAAAATCGGTTAGAAATAGGCCCATTCTTAATATCTATTAAAAATATTTCAGAATTTTAGTGGGGGTACATGTTAATTTTTAGCATAATATTTGTGTATCCTTAATGGTATAAAGTTGGTCCCATAACTAACCTTTGTCTTAGAGTGAATTTGAATTTCAGAAAGCAATTAACAAGATTTGTAGGTTAAAACTGATAAACCAGTAATAAGGAAACTAAGATTTAATTTTTGAAGGTGAACTAAATTTTGCAACCAACTTAAAAAAACCAATCCTAGGAGAGAAAAAATAAAGAGTACGTCGGAAAAATTAAAAAGTCTTTCGTCTAGCTAATGAAAATTTTCAAAGTATGTGGAGCAGTTTTTACTTCTTGTACTTGGATGCAAGAATCAACTATAACATTCTCACATCAACAGCTTATTAATGATTTTGTAAGTGTGTACTAAAAGAACCCCCTTTTTCTCCCCTTCAAAGATGATGAATTTAGGAAACAAACACTTCCATCTCTAGAGATTCAGCTGAACCATTAGGCCTTTTTTTTTTTTTGAGACAGAGACTCACTATGTCACCCTTGGTAGAGTGCTATGGCGTCATAGCTCACGGCAACCTCAAACTCTTGGGCTTAAGCGATTCTCTTGCCTCAGCCTCCCAAGTAGCTGGGATTACAGGGGCCCCCCACAATGCCATAAATGACAAATTCTTAAAGAGTAGTGACTTTGTATCCTACTTCCTAAATAACATTTTATGCATGTATAGCTGTAGTTTACGTGCTTGTTTTTCATGTGTTCCAGAGTGTTGAAACATTCACTTGAGTGATATTTAACCATCACAGTTGATCAGAGTTGATTACAATTATAGAAACAGAACCTTTATCTTTTTATTTTTAACTTTTTATCTTTTTTTTTCTTACCATCCAGATTACATTGTATAATTAGAAGTTTACAGATCCGTGGCAGCCTTTCATCATTAAAGCAAATTATTACAAACCATTTTTCAATCTCTTCCAGTTTATGGAAAATTTGATTTAGTCTGATAGTCAAAAATATGGTAATATTTCTATTCCATTTAAGGCCCAGGGATTTGGTCTAGGCAGAATTTGCTAAGTATGTCCTGTAAGTACCGAATAATGTTTGAAGCTAGTGGAAGAAATGAAAGTCTCTGCATTCAGTGTAAATTTTAAGGAGTTTTGCTGGAAATTAGAAAAGGAAAAGGTTAACCCCTATACTTTTTTCTCTGCAGTAGCATTTACACCAACCTCGATTTGGTAGAGCAGGGTGAGAAAACATCCTGGGATGTAATTTTTTACCTTGCAGGGTCTAGCACCAGCTGATCTAGGCATTTATGGTTGATTCAAAACACAAAAGGCATCTGTTTTTGGCATCTACAATTCCCCTTTCAAAATTGCTTACCTATTTAAATGCGTATTAGAAACAAAGAGAATGAGCCTAATTAAAGCAGCAAGCACTATTGAGAGCGAAGCAGAAAAATATTCCAGTGGCAAAATGACTGTTCATTTCATTTGTCGTTTTACTGTATGGGTGACCTCAGTGATGGCATTATGATATTTTTCTGAGGCTGATTTGAACTCTACCAGATGCTTCTCATAACTTTTGATGGCTGCTTGAAGCTGCGTTTTCTCCACTGCTCCCAGGATAGCACGGAAGATCATATCTATGCCAAGGCCAAGAACAGCAACTCCAATACTGCCAAGGAGAGAAGCACCAATTTGAGCTAACACAGTGACCAGCTTGTTAATTATGCCAGTTGTGACATTTGAGCCCACAAGTTTTACAGCCACTGCACTGGCTGCAGATGTAGCTTCTCCTAGAATGACCGAGATCACCTTCTGTACTATTGCAATTTTCTCTGTTTCCCTTTCCTTAATATCCTGGAGTTTTCTATAAAGGGTTGGCTCTAGTTTGTCTTTCAGTGCTTCATCAACCTTCTGCAGTTCCTTTTGGATTTTCATAATGGCTTGGATGATGATATCACAGTTTTCTTTGATGGTCCCATCTCTCTTCATCTCAATGGGGGCCAGCCTGCACCCCAAGTGCACATTTAGAACCCCAGTCAACTTATTGGTGGCATGGAAGCTGTCAGATAAGCAGTCCAGGAGCTGCTGGTGAAGACGGTTTACTTCCTGCCGCCTCTTTGGGTTGTCTGGGTAGAGGAAGTCACTGTGAGCCATGTTTCAAATATGATCTCTGAAAACAAAACGGTAAATTTTCAGTAAAGATCTTGGAAAATACCTGCTTCTGCACATCTGACTAGAAGAAAATCTTGTGTTTCATGCATAGCAAAGTAGCAATATGCTATATAAGGAATTTCTCAGGAAACTCACGAAGTTCTTATCACCATGTTACCCAGGATGGTCTCAAATTCATGGGCTCAAGGAATCCTCCCACCTCGGCCTTTTAAGATACTGAGATTACAGGCCTGAGCCACCATGCGTGGTCAAAATAAAAATTTTTTTTTTTTTTTTTTTTTTTTTGGAGACAGGGTCTTACTCTGTCACCTAGGCTGGAGTGCAGTGGTGTTATAGCTCACTGTAGCTTCATACTCTTGGGCTTGAGCGTTTTTTTCACCTTAGCCTTCTTAGTAGCTGGGATCACAGGCATGACCCACCTCATGCTTCACCAGGTTCTTTCGAACAATTATTTTTATGAAACTTGGAGTCAGTGTATGGAAGATATGGGTAACAATATAATCCATTGATACATAAGGTATTAGATTTGTGTGGTGGTGGGAATATTTGAAAATATTGATGTTTATCAAGCATTTAGTTGTTAATAAATAAACATGATTATTTCTAGGGAGTATTTAATAACTTTTATTTGAAACATCCCAGTTTGAAATGGTTAGCCCTTGATTACCAGTGCTCTTTAATTAGCCCAATGCTTAGTCCCCACATTGAATTCACCTACCAGACTGACATACCTAACATTTACAGTTAAATTGGTATTCAGGGTCAGAAGAATATTAAAATCTCTGAATTTTCAGGGTTATATTTTGTACTTATATACTTGGTTATCTTAATTAAACATTAACAAATCACTGTATCTCTTTACAGGCAAACTATTTGTTTTCTAAACCTAAGGGACACCCAAAAGCAGCACATGTATATTAGAATATTTTAAACAATTTCTCCCAATAAGGGACTGTATTCAAGAATGGATAAAATTTCATTTGAAAAGAAGGTGGACACTATACAAGGGACAGTACAATTAGGACTGTGATCGAGTCTCCATTTTCAAAGCTTATGAGTTAATTATATATTGTGCTTGGCCATTATTTAGACAAGCCAGAGTTAGTGTCAGAAAGAAAATAATGCTGTTTTTAAAAAATATTAAAGCATAGAATCCACCATAGGATGAATAAAGTACAGTGCCATTTAGAGAAAAAAGGCAATAATGCTCTTCAGAGTTTATTTGGGTAAAAATTCCAAATTTGAGCCCAGTACAAACAATATGTTATTCGATGTGCATACCTTAAGTAGACTTCTGTGTTCCTGGCACTTTTGTTTTTCTATTAAAGTCTTGGGAGAAAAGAATGACAAAAATGAAGTCCTCTTGTCTATATTCATAACGGAACTGGCACATTCTTTATTTGAGTAATCAACATCTGGATTAATTTGGGCCCCGTGTCTTCAAACACCATGATTCTCAGTCTAAATGTAGGGCATCTGGGAAATGTGGGATGAGAGAATGAAGATGTTTTTCTCTCAAGAAAGTAAATATGAAAATAACCTATCCTCCAACTCACATAGATATAATTTGGAAATGGAAATTTTTTTCTAAAATGGATTAGGAATATAAATAACCATTTATGTTGTTCAGTTTAGAAGAATGCACTAGAACCTTCTGGTAGAATAAACTACGATGGACAGAAATGTCTTGTTATTCTTGATCCAGATCCAGTGCACAAAACACATACACGTGTGACAGATACAAATCTCCACAAAATGATTCTTAAAAACGTTTCTAACTCAATCCCATTTAAAGACATTGCTCGTTGAGGTTCTAGTAAATGTTCCAGAAACTCACTAATGGGCTGCAAACTGCAATTAGATAACAAATTTGGACTTTGAATTTTCTTTTTTCTTCAGTATTTTTCCATTAAATATTTATCTTCTTTTTGGGTCCTGGTTTTTCAGATCTTATGAATGAAAACTACAATTTCTGACTTCAAATTCAGAAGACAATCAACTATCCCTATTCCAATATTTAGGTGAGCGGCATCTTACTAATCCTGGAAAAATGGAAAGTATCTTTAGCAGTTATTATATACCATTATATGAGGGCATAGTTTCCAGAAACGGTGTGAGGTTCTATCTAACTGAAATAGACAAATAGAAAAATGACCCTTCCTCTTGGATGGGAGGTTGAATGCTTCTTAGTGGTCAGCTCCTTTTCTGTTAACTTACTGTTTTGTCACATCAACATAATCATAAAACGTATCAAAGACTAAACAGGTGAGACAGTTTTTTTCAGGAAAAGGAATGATGGGACTCATACCATATTAAGACCTCATAAAAACACAAGGTTAAACTGTATTGGACAGTGTGAAAGTAGATGGATTCATGGAACAAATTAGTCTCGAAAGCAGACTCTTCTATCCATTTTATAAAAATAAATGTAGAACCTCAAATCAATAATAATTGAAATTATTACTCTCTAAGTGGTTTTGTCATGATGGGCTAGTCTTTAAAGTTAAAAGTTAAAAAAAAAGTTATTAGTGCATAATAAATGTGAAAAATCAAATAATAAAGCACCTAGAAAAATTTGAGTAATTTCCAAATGTCTGTATGAAGGAGGATTTTATAAGCCTAAAACAAATGGAAACAAAGTTTCATGCAAAAATTTATTTATTTTTGAGACAGAATCTTACTATGTTGCCCAGGCTAGAGTGCTGTGGCATCAGCCTAGCTCACAGAACCTCAAACTCCTGGGTTTAAGTGATCCTTTTGCCTCGGGCTCCTGAGTAGCTGGGGCTACAGGTGTGCCACAGTGCCTGGCTAATTTTTCTATTTTTAGTAGAGACAGGGTCTAACTCTTGCTCAGGCTGGTCTCAAACTCCTAAGCTCAAGGATCCTCCTGTCTCGGCCCCTCAGAGTGCTAAGGATTACAGGTGTGAATCACCAAGCCCCTCCAGTGTAAAAACTTTAAGCAACAAAGATGATGGCTGTGTAAAAAGAACTGAAAGCAAGCTGGGAAAAATGCAGGAAAAAATGAAAAAGCATTAATTTCTAAAGCGTATTACTATTAATAAGAAAAACATTAATAATCTAATACCTAAATGAGCAAACAGCCCTGAGCCAAGTGTAAGAAAAGAAATAGTAGCTAATAAAATGAAGAAAGTTTTAGTATGTTTTCAACTACAAAGGTGACATTTCTTCTCCTCTCCCCTTAAATGCTCATGCCCTTGCCATTGTGCTCTGATATTTTTCTTTGTGGAATGTAGACATCAGTCCGTGATTTTTGTTTCAAATAACAAGTTTGAGTAAGAGACATCATAAGGTGCTCAAAATTATTTTTCCCTTTTAATGAAAAGATTTTAATTTTTCTGAGTCAGGCCTACTTTCCTAGCTTTTTTCCTTGGGGTGGGTGATGGAGAAGATTCCTTATGCAAAAAAAGGAAAAATTCCTTTCAGAAGCCCTAGCACCATACCTGCTCAGGTGTATCTGAGCTGCAGTAGTGAATATGGTTCAAGGTGAATTCCACACCCAAAAGGCATACTAGAGGTACTGGAGCGTAAGGAAGATGAGTGGTGGGGAGCTACTGAAGGTGGAAACCACTGAATTGTGTTCTGGACAGGTGAAGGTTTGAAAAATCCTGAAAGAAAGCAATTATTGGTCCAGTAACAATTTAATAGGTAGCGTTTACTGTGTGTAACGTTGTATGCTAAGCACATTCTGTAAAGCATACAAAGATGAAAAAGATATAGTCCTGCTTTTTTGGAATTTCTAATTTAGCTGGGGAGTTAAGACAGATCTGTAACTACAATGTTGAGTTGAAAGTAATGCCATACAAAATTATAGGTACCCCTGATATTTTACTCACGAAAATTCAAACTTTTTCACAGCCCACACTATAGTACATATTGACACTATGGCCATATGGTGGCATTTGATCATCCAGAGAAGGTTAACAATTTGTACCCTTTCAAATTGATACACTTAAATATCTGCTTGATAATTAAGGAGAGGTCAAACACCACGTGAACCACAGTTGGCAATGTGCACTATTTCCACTATTGTCCTTAACAATTTGGTTCTAACTCTCAAACTGATCACTTAGCAAAAGAAAAATCCTGCAGTTAATCAGAGTCACCCTTCTTAAATAAAAATCATGTTTGTTACTCAGGCCCACTGCAAGTGATATCTTACAAGCAATATATTATATTATATTATATTATATTATATTATATGTGCTCTCTGGGAGGAGTTCTGGGCCATGTACAATTCCCCATATGCTGTTTTCCACGATGACCTGGTGACTTTTACAGATTGTGGTACTAGCAAGGAGCACAGTGGTCTGTGTAAACTGGCTCTGCTTAACTATACTTTCTTGTATGGAAAATTTGGACTTCAATGTAATTTAAGTTAACATGCATTAATGTTTCCTGTCAATGAAGAGTTGTATTTGAGGAGTTACCGCCTGGTTCTGTACAGAGTTTGTACTATTACTTGCTTATTTCACTTTAGTGGTTTTTGAGGTAAGTTCTGGAGCCCAGAAGCAGCCTGCTGGGGAGTCTCTGGCCAGCAGGCGGCGCTCTTGAGCTCTAGGACGCCTAGTTCACCTGAGCCTTGGCTGGAGCAGTGTGCTTTCTTACACATTTGGGCTCTGGGTAAGTAAAATTTTAATTGATGAGAGACTTCTGTTTCTAAAACTAACTTTGGAAATCTCTGACTTGTTATTTCTTTTTTTAAAATTTCATACAATATTTTTAATAATTTTGTCCATGAAACAAAATTTGTGTTAAGTACTTATATGTGGAATTTCCCATTTGTGCGAAGGCATCCAGTCAGAATGCAAAAAGCTTCAGATTTTGAAGTTTCTTGGACTGGAGTGCTCAAAATACATAGCGAGTGTTTAAGTGTGTATCTCAAGGGTGTTAAATTCCACAGAAGAAAAGAATGGGGCACTGTGATGGCGTTTATAAAAGACACCTAAGTCAGAGGGAGGAGAGGAGACTTCCCTGAGGACTGAGATCTGAAAGATGATAGTTAACAGGCATGGGAAGAGGTTACAGAAAAGTTCTGTGGCCCAGAGAGTGCTTCTGTCAACAGAGGAATAACAAGGGGGCCAGAAGGACTTGTGCAAAGGGAAGAGGCAGAGAGTAGAGGGGCATGAGTCCAGAGGAGGGGCAAAAGCAAACCATGCAGGGCCCTGAGGGCTGTAATAAAGAACCCGGGCTTTCTCTCAAGGGCACTAAGGAGCCATCTGGGAGCTTTGAGCAAGGGAGGAATAGGGTCAGCTTTGTGCTTTAGAAAGACCTGTTTGGCCCCTGAAAGGAGGAAAGACTGGAGTGTATGGGACTAAAACCCAGGAGACCAGGCAGGAGTGGGGCAGAGATATAGTATAAATGGGAATGTCTATACAGTTCTCATCTAACAAGAGAAATGAATCTAGTAAACAAGGGCCAATTCAAGCTGGGATCCCAAGGACAAGGAGGAGTTAAATGGGTGAGGGGAAGCACCACAGGGCACAGCCGTCTGGTGGCAGAAATAGAAAAATGGCCAGTTAAGTTGTCCTAGGGTGAAGTTGAGAGGCCAGACAGCAAGGGTCTTCTAGGCCAAGGATGGAGTTGGGTCTTCTCTCCAAAAGCAAGACTTTTTCAGAGGACTCCTGCCTCTGCTCTGCTCTCTTCTCAGAGTCCACCATCATGCCTCAAAGCTTCCATTCATGCTTCTAAGCCTGGGGCCTCAACAGGCTGATTGCTGCCTCCCACTCTGTGACTTGTTATTTCATAAAAATGACAAGAAAAAAATCTGGAAGGATCAATACCAATGATCAGCCCATCTTAGGAAATTCAAATAGAAACAAAGATCAGCTTGCAATTGATGCTTGTTGGACTTGAGCATGTCAATTTTTTTGAACTGAGTAGTAAACATTCAAGATTAAAGTGCACAGAAGATATAGTAGAAAATTATTGATAATCTTATTTAAAAGTTAATGTTTATTAGTGATGTTAAACAATTGTTTTAGTTTTTCCAGGAAAGGAACCAATGAAAATGGATTGTCATATATTCAAACAACACTAATGAGTAACAGTAGTACATTGACTGTCAAGCGCTACAGAAATTGAAAAAGAAACTAATACTGAGGTGATCAGAGAAAGTTTCGTGGAGAAAGCAACATGATATATGCTTTGATAGATGGTAGAATTATAACATGGAGAAATTAAAAGTGAAAGGGTTGATGAAACAAAGTACAGTATAATCTCCATGGTTATAGAGAGCACCTCCCTATGTTAACCACCTTCCTGTGCTGACCGCCTCCTTAGACCTAATTTTCATAGACCAGACATGCACGACAGATATTTACGTATGTGGCATTACTGTACTATCAGTACAGTAGACCTAGTTCATTGTGTTGACTACCTCCATATGTTGAACAGTTACTGTTCTTTGGGTGGTCACCTTACAGAGATTCTACTGTATTTTAAAACTAATATGTATTTATCACTAATACATAAAGTTTTTAAAATGGAAGAGACAAAGCATCCAAAAGCCTACCATCTTAATTGTTTTTGTTTTTTTTTTATTTCTTTCCAACATTTGTTTATATGCATAAGTATCTTTACAAAGCTGTAATAATAGTGCAAATAAAATTCATCTTATATTAATTCACTTAACACTTTCTCATATTTCTAGTTTTATAACCATTTCATCTGTTATATAAACTATTCCATATCTTTACCATAATTTAGTAAGCGCTTAATTGTTTCACTATCACGATCTTCTAAATGCAAGAGACAGATTTCTCCCCCTCCATCATCTGGATTAATAGCTAGAATTATTACAGGATAAGTAGCTAGAATTATGTAACTAAAGGTAACTAAAATTTTTAGCACTTTTGACATGTATTGCAAACTATATTCTAAAAGCTTTTACCTTCTTACCAAAACTAAATTTTTATTTTTCACTATTTATTTATTTTTTGAGACAGAATCTCACTCTGTCTCCCTGGGTAGAGTGGCATATGATGCTGTGGCATTATAGTAGCTCATAGCAACCTCAAACTCTTGGGCTTAAAAAAAAAGAAAAATAAGATCCTCTTGGCTCATCTTCCTGAGTAGCTGGGACTATAGGCACCCACCACAACTAACTTTTCTATTTTTAGTAGAGAAGGGATCCTGCTCTTGCTCAGGCTGGTTTTGAAGGCTCGGCCTCCCAGAGTGAACAAAAGTAAATTTTTATACCAGAATACTGACTCTCTTTCAAAGTCAAATATTGTCCTGTTTAAATATTGTTGAACTGGGGAGCATAAAGTTACATTTCAAAAAGAGGAGTTCTTCTTGCCACTTTAGAAATTCATGCTGAAAATATTAAAGATGAAATGATGTGGCCTCTGAGATTTGCTTCCAAATTATCTGAAAGGACTAGTGGGTAAAGTTATAGAGGAAATGAGATTGGCCTTATTTTGATAATTTTTAAAGCTGGATCATGGGTGTGTAGGAATTTATTATACAGTAGTACTGTGCTCACTTCTGTGTATGTTTGAACTTTTTGTCATAATCACAAGAAAAAGAAAGACAAAATGTAAACACATGCCCCTGTCTGACTGTCTGTGTTTGGTCATTAGTGCCTTCTGAGGCTTTGTGTTTTTGCCCCTGTAACTTTTCCTCACTGTCCAGACTGGGTCCTGCTGTCATGGGGCTTTCCCTATTTGGGAGTGTGGAAATAGGGTATAGGTAAAGTTGGGAGCCTTTCAGGAGAAAAAGAACAGCTCCTAACTAATTCGAGTCATGTTTAATTCAAATCAAAACAACGGCCTTTAATTTAAAAAAGAAGTCAATTAAGATGTGACGATATATTTTCTCAAATATAAAGAATATTTCTGACCAGAGTGCGGAATACCAATCATTTATCAAAGGCACACTTGAGAAGTCTCTACTGTATGTTTTGAGGCACTTGAAGAAACAAATAGGCAATGTTCCTTTCTCTCAAAATAATTTTATTATTGAATAAATTTAGTAATTTACTTGGAGATGCAGAGCAAATGCCCAGTGGTATTTTAACGTGATGTAACACAGAAGAAGTATAAGCGCTGGGTACTAGCTAGTGTTAGACCACACGTTCATTCTTTCACAGAGGGATGTAAGTTCTTCTATCAGTGTCAAGGACACAGTAGGAAACGTTACTCTCCATATAAACAACACACATTTACAGATGTCCTTTTACTCAGTCTTTCTAAAATTGATGTCTTTACTGCTTCCCTTCTTTTCTGATTTAACCAGAGCTAGAAGCCGTTAATTTTCTTTCTTCCTTGGTGTCTTCAGAGAATCACAAGGAATTCCTGACTCCTGTAGGAAAACTGTTTTGTTACTTTAACTTTTTATGGCTAGGATTCAAGACACATGCTCCTTCAAATACCCTTTACTACGGGGAAGCAGAGGATGATATCAATACTAATAGAAATATTCATATTGCTTACCTTGCTGTGTTTGTGAGTTCTGTACTCCCCGCGGTGGTTTAGCAGTATTGTTGAAATGCTTTTTCATCTGGTTTCATCTGGATATTTCTGACGGAATGTGATGACTTACGGGCTTTGCTGGTCTCTGCTGGGTCCTTCTGCCTGTCTGGTTTATAGGCTATTTCTGCATGGCTTAGTCCTCAGAATCCTTCTGTTTCTTATAGTAACAATCTATAAACTCAGTATATTGTTTTAAGTAATATAAGAAAGAATAATAGAATAGTACAACGTATTTTTAATTGCTTGTTCTCTAACAAACGTTTGTTATTGAAAAGTGCTGCACATCTGTGCTAATTCAATCCAATAGAGAAGATGGCTCTTTGATTGCAGCTATCATGTTTTGAAATTTCATCTTGTCGGCTATTCCAGATACTAAGTTTCCTTTAGCTTCTGTTGCATTTGTACCTCTGTCTGTTGCTAACTGCTTTCTTTAGGTTCTCGAGAGATACAAACCCAGATATTTGCTGCCAAAGGTTTTATTTTATTTTTTGCTCTTCTTGGAAGAGGGGAGTTCTCTTTATCATTACCTCTCTTCTTATGTTGGTAAATTGTCTTGACTATAGAAAAGCCTTAAAGACCAACTTGTCTCCTTCCCTTAAAGCTTGAGTCAGAGTCTTCCAAGCTTCTTCCTCTGGACTTTGTCCTAACCCCCATTGATTTCTCTATAGCAAAGGCACTCAGCCTCAGTTTAACTTAGTGGAAAGAGGACAGGCTTTAGCATCAGACAGTCCTGTTTTGTGCACTCGAAGTACCACTTCCTCGTCATGTAACCCTAGGAAAGTCACTTAACCTAATTAAGTGTTTCCATTAGCGTACTGTATTACGCTTGTGGGTTGTTGTAAGGGCTAAATGAGATCATGCACATCAAGCACTTGGCACGCTGGCTGGTGTGTGGCAACATCTTATGAAATGATCGTTATTCTTCTTGTACTCAGAACAGTAACTCCTGACAGGGGTGAGGGGGGTGTGGGTGGGTAGAGAGTACAGGACCAAGATGCCAGACAAGAGATTTGTAAAATCTAAAGTTGCTGCCCTGTGATTTCAAAGAAGGGCCAAGTGGTGTAATTTTTTACTTTTACCCCAGTGGGTATTTTTGCCCTTGATATATCTTAGAGCCCCGTGTAAAGAAGCGTGGCCATTGTATCTGAACTAGGTATGGATGAAAAGTAGGATTTCAACAGATGTGCGGGGGATGGTGTATTGGAGGAGAAAATGCAGATGGAAGGAGCACTGGGAGCAGAGTAGCTGGGCAAGGAGTTGTAGAGCCTTCTCAGGGAACAAAGCTAATCCACTGTGCTGGTGATATATGGGTAAATATGAAAGCAGTTAAGGGAAGATAGATACTGGAAAACTGAGAGCAGTTTATGGCCTTAAATGCCATACTAAGAAATTATATTTTGGGCTAGGCGTGATGGCTCACACCTGTAATCCTAGCACTCCGGGAGGCCAAAGCAGGTGGATTGCTTGAGCTCACAAGTTCAAGACCATCCTGAGGAAGAGCGAGATTCTGTCTCTAAAAGTAGCTGGGCATTGTGGCAGGCACCTGTAGTTCCAGCTACTCAGGAGGCTGAGACAAGAGGGTCCTTTAAGCCCACGAGTTTGAGGTTTTTGTGAATTATGATGCCACGACACTCTTCTGAGGGCAACAAAGTGAAACTCTGTCTCAAAAAAAAATTATATTTTATTGTGTAGGTGATATTAAGTCGTTGAAGGTTTTTTTTTTTATTATGGCATAATATTCAGAGGTTTGGATTTCAAGAAGGTCACTTTCTATAAACTAGATTAGTGGGTATGGAGAATAAAGCGTAGGTCACCAACTCCACTGTCCACAGTGGCTGGATAGGAGATGTCAGTCACCCTATCTTGAAACAGTTGTATCTTATTTCTGAAGAGAGTATTGTTGGGGTGTACCGTATAACCCGTTGTCCCTAAGGCGGTGTTTGTTTCTCCCCCGTTTCTACCTTTCTCAACGTTTACCTACTACCTACTCAACCTCTCCTTTGTCTCCTAACTGCCCTTGCCAAACTTGGGTATGACTAGTAACAAAGCAGGAAAGCTGGGCACACAGTACTTGTCCCTATTTCAGAATTATCAGAGAAGAACTAGAAATAATGCTGACTTTATAATGAGCCTTGTCAGTGTAAGGATAACCAACTCGAACCTCTTAAACCCCCCCGGTTAAGGTCAGCATTTGTGTCAAATCAAGAGTCAGAACTGAACCATAAGCAGGAGGCACATTTTCCTAGCATAGGTCTTCGAGTCCTATGACTCCAAGTGAATCAAAAAGGCGGATTTGACAAGTTTGACTCCTGGGTTGAGGGTGGAGGTGAATGAGTGAAAGGTCAATGATGTCTCCAAATGTATGTGCATGTAACTTTTCTTTTGATGGGTTCTTTCAGGTAGAATGCTTTCCTTTTCTCTTTTATTCAAAGCCTACGTCTTTTCCTTAAAGCTCAACTGAAAAACCATATATTTCATGACTGTTTCCAAGAATAACCTACCTAAGGCTGGGTGCAGTGGCTCATGCCTGTAATCCTAGCACTCTGGGAGGTCGAGGTGGATGGATTGCTTGAGCTCTGGAGTTGGAGACCAGCCTGAGCAAGAGGGAGACCCCCACCTCTACTAAAAATAGAAAAACCAGCCTGGCGCTGTGGCAGGTGCCTGTAGTCCCAGCTACTTGGGAGGCTCAGGCTTGAGAATCACTAAAGGCCAAGAGTTTGAGGTTGCTGTGAGCTATGATGTCAGAGCACTCTAACCAGGCTGACAGCATGAGACTCTGAAAAAAAAAAAAA